CTGAGCTGAAATCAAAGAGTTGGGCACTTAACCAACTGAACCACCCAAGCACCTCCTTGTTTTCTATTTCTATAGATTTGTCCATTCTGGACATTTAGTATAAATGGAATCATATAGCATGTGACACTTTAGGATAGGCTTCTTTCACTTAGCCAAAGTTTTTCAAGGTTTATTCATGTTGTAGTATCAGTACTGCATTCCTTTTTATGGCTGAATAATATTTCACTGTATGGATGTACCACATTCTGAATAACACTATTCATCTATATTGATGGACATTGGGTTGTTTCCAGAGCCAGTTTTGACACATTAGAAGTTCTGCATTCTGTCCAGCAGAGGGGGCTGTTGGGTCCCAGACTCTCCTTCCAGCAAAGAGAAAGAGGGAAGAGGCAGCCAGCCAGCCTTGGGGAGGGTTTTGCCAGCATCTCCATCTGGGCTCAGGGATGACTGAGGGTGCCTGGTGTGTGTGTGTGTGTGTGGGGAGGGGGGGATTTTTTTAAACACAATGAGTTGTGTGTGTTTGACTTTTTAATAAACTACAGAGCCCCATAATCATCATCTATTGGGAGTGATGGACATGTCTGTTATCAGATCATAGTGATGGTTTCACAGATGTCAAAACTCATCAAAGCGCACACTTCAAACATGCACGGCTTATTGCACATCCATTATAACTCAACATAGTTGTAAAAAATAAAAACAAAAAACAAAAAAAATCTATTTTTTCATTACAAAAGATAGACATTTTCATTATGAAGAATTTAGAAAAGCATAATGATGAAGAAAATAAATGTCACTTGCTACTCGGGGCTTGCAGAGCTCCTGGCGAAGTCCCCTCTACCTGATGAACCCCTTGGAAGGCTCCATGGGCCAGCATTAGCTTCCAGTTTGTGCAGCCAGGCTCTGGGGCCCACCTTGGCTCTGCTGGCCTCTTGGTGCCAGACCCAGTGTCCTTCCACCTGAGAACTTGGCAGTCATCACAGGCACCCTACCTTCCTCACTCAATCTGTACCTCTCAGGACTCCTGGATCCCTAACACTTCTCTGGCCAGTGCCTCTCAGTCTCTCTGCCTCTACTTCCCTCCTCGTCCTGCCCCTAACCCTTCCTCACCTAGTTTTCCTGGGAGACTCCTGCCCTATGGCCATAAACACTAGCTATTCATTAATAGCCCTCCCATTTCTGTCTCTGCTCTTGATGGCACCTCGGTACCCAGACTCACACTCTCTCCACCTGACTCCCCCTCTGTAGATGAGCTATAGGCACTTGAAGCCTCACATGGGCACCCCAGTTTCCCCATAAGACTCTCCCTTCCTGGCTCCATATCCAATCCGTCTACAAGTCCAGGACAAACCTGGAACCTGACCCCTTCTCTAGTGCCTTGATTCCCCGTAGCCTAGGTCTGAGTCACCAGTGTCCCACACCTGGACCAGTGGCACAGTCCCTGTCCACTTATCCTGCTCCCACCTCCTACCTCTGGCCTGTCCACAAAACAAATTTGAACAAGTTGCTCTACTGTTTATGGCAGATACTGTGGCTACTTGATTTTAAATTAATTAAAACTAAATCAAACTTGGTACACTTGGGTGGCTCAGTTGGTTATTTATATGCCCAACTCTTGATATTGGCTTAGGTCATGATCTTGAGATTGTGGGATCAAACCCAGCATTGGCTCCATGCTGAGCATGAAGCCTACTTGGGATTCTCTCTCTCCCTCTGCCTCTCCCCCATCAAAATAAATAAATAAACATTTTTGAAAGCTAAATCAAACTAAATTTTATTTATTTATTTATAAAATATTTTATTTTTAAGTAATCTCTATACCCAATGTGGGACTTGAACCCACAACCCTGAGATCAAGAGATGCATGCTCCATGGACTGAGCCAGTCAGGTGCCCCCAAATCAAATTTTAATTTTTTTAAAGTTTATTCATATTTGAGAGAGAGAGAGAGAGAGAGAGAGAGAAGGGGACTTGCTTTGTCCTGGACTTGTAGATGGACTGGATATGGAGCCAGGAAGGGGGAGTTTTATGTGGGCAGAAAGAGAGGGAGACACAGAATCCAAAGTTGTTGGCACAGAGCCTGACGGGGGAGGGGTGCTCTAACCCATACACTGTGAGATCATGATCTGAGCCGAAGTTGGACATTTAACCAACTGAGCCACCCAGGTGTCCCAGCCCCCAAAATAAATTTTAAATCAAACTATATTTTTCCAGTTCTTCAGCTGCAGCAGTCACATTTTGAGTTCCTGGGAGTTGCATGGGGAAGCTAGTCGCTGCTGTATTGTTCAGTATAGAATATAGAATGTGTCCATCATGGTGGAAAATTCCACCAGACTATACAGGCTCAGAAACTTTCAGAGGCTTTTCCTTCCATTTAGAATAAAACCCAAACTTCTTACAATCCTGAAAGGTCTTACCTTGCCTATGATGTCATCTCCTGTCATCATACCAGCCTCCTCTCCTAACTGTGCCTCAAATATACCTAGAACTTTGAAGTCTCCCTGTCTTTGCCTTTCTGATCCTCATCCTTAGGACCAGCCCAGATGTTACCTCTCTTGGCAGGCCTCCCCAGACTTCTTCCTTTTCCTGGATCCCTGCACAGCACACATACCCCTGCTATGGCCTGGCTCTGTCTGCCTTACCCTTTCCTCCCCAACTCATGTTCATCTTTCTCTCTTGGTTGTGTGTTCCTACACACACACACACACACACACACACACACACACGTCAGATTCCTCTTTTGGCAAGCACTGGCTGAGCAGCTACTATGTGCTGAGCACTGGGGAGTCACTAGGGAACTAGACAGTTCTCCACCCTTGGAAGTTTAGATCGAGCTGGGAACAGACACCTAATGGGGGATTACAGAGTGTTATGTATCTGGGCCCCATGTTCCTCCTCATTCCTTCCTCCCTGGGGGAGGGATGGATGATAAGAAAGCTCTGCAGGAAAAGACCAGAGACCCAGGATAGGAGTGTTTTCAGGAAAGAACCAAGGATGAGAGGAGTGTCTTTGGGGCCAGAACAAGCTATCTCACAGGGCAGATAGCCACTATCTTCCGGTTTCTGAATTGTTTGCTTATATATACAATATTGGAGGTGGGGCTGAATTGGGGCTTGCAAACCAGAGAACGGGACACCTCACTGACAGACGAAGCCTCCCCCATTCCCCGCAAAGTATCCTTCTCTTTCCCAGGTGGTTAATGATAATGTCTCTGACGAGCCCACAATTCCCTGCCCTGGAAATGGAGGGGCTCCATCAGCAAGGGAAAAAGCAGTATGTACTTTTGGAATTCTTTATGGAGACAGCCAGAGAAAGGGGTTCTGGAAGGCTGCCTGACCCAACTCACTTGATGACCTGAGCAGGTCATCTGAGGAAAGCAGCTAATATTGATCATAAGCTGCTATGTGCCACATCCTGTGAGGTCAGGACTTATCCCCATTTTAAAGAAAAGGTCATTGAGGATGTGAATACTACTGGGAATACAGCCTCACCTGTCCAGCTCCAATTCAGGACATCAACTCATTCTGTTTCTTTGTCTGCAAAACAGGCTTTACAGGAGAACTTGCCTGCCTTGAGGGAGTTCTGCAAAGTAAAGAAGCTTGGTAAGAGGGGTCAGTCTGAGTGCCTCAAAGCGGGAGAGACAGCAGGAGGGTGGAGAGGCCTGCAGAGGGCGGCAGTGAGCTGTGCCTAGCATGGACCTCAGGGCCCCAGCGTTTTCTAGTAACCCTCCAAGGCCATCTCCCAGAGCACTAACCTTAATAAGCATGGAAGGAACACCGTATACCATTTACCAGAGTGGGTTTCATGTTTGCCCCAACTGGGTGCTTTACACACGGTGCTCACATTTTATATATGAGGGCAAAACTGAGGATCAGAGGAGAAAAGGAACTGCTCAGGTCACAAAACCTGGAGTGATGGAAGACCTGAACCCCAGCCAGGCTGGACTGGCCAATAGCCCTGGGCTCTCTTCCTTCTAGATTAGATGCTGGGACATCTCTCCTGGGTGGCACTGGACCCGGGGTGGGGGCAAGATTACACCTTACATCCATGCCAGGACAACAGCCCTCAGAGACAGGTATCCTTGTTCTCATCTCAGTACCAAAGAAACTGAGGAACAGAGGCAGTGGAGATCAGGACCGAGGCCCTGTTCTTTGGTTGACAAATCCTGTTTCCTCTTCCCTCACCCAGCAGCAGCCTGGTTTGGGTATTTTCATTTGGTGCCTCTCAGACTGCCCAAAGTGTGCCCTCTGCCATGTGTCTAAGATCTCTGGGCTTCCCTGGGGTCCCAGAGATGATTTTGTTTCACTGCTGGCTCTAGACTGTCCTGTCTTCCATCCAGTCTTAAGGCGATCCCCTTAAAGGGAGACTCAACACATAAACTCTGGGAAAAACTACCCTGGCATCTGAAGCTCTGGAGAGGCCAGCGACAAATATACAACTCAGGACCACAGGGAAGGTCATGTGGGTGTTGAGTGACCTGGGGGAGAAATTCCTGTTGATTTTCTCTGCGACAGCGCCCTGTGGCAGCTGATTTATCACCCACCCCAAGTCCACAGTGCTGGGGGCCGTTGGCACATAGGCGCTGTTGGTCTTGGCGGCCCAGCCAAGCCCACCGTGCTTTCCTAGGTGACCTTCCATTCCAGGCTCCTGTGCGCATAGGGGCCCGAAGGGTGGCCCCTAGAGCGCTCAGCCCCGAAGCTGGAGAGTGGCTGCCGGGCTGTGGGGAAGTGAGGATCCAGGTGTTTTTGTTCCAGGAGTGCAGAACTCGCCAGGGCCTCTGCTTAGGACAGTCAGGTTCGCCACTGCGCGGGACAGAGTTTCCCCAAGCGCGGAGACCGAGTGACGGCAGGGTCTGGGTGGGGGCGCGGCCTCTCAGCAGCCCCTCCCCCTGTCCCCTCTACCCGCAGCCCTCGGCGCGGCCCCTTTAAGAGGCCCGCCCGGCTCCGTCAGCCGCGCCACGGCCACCGCCCCCCGGCCCTCCCCTTCCTGCGGCGCCGAGTGCGGGCCGGGCTGGAGTGCGGCGAGAGCTGGCCGGGTCGAGCGCAGCGCCCGGGAGGCAGCAGCGGCCCGGGCGAGGCGCGGCGCGGGAGCCAGAGCAGAGGAGCGTAAGGGCGGCGGCTATGGGCTAGCGGCGCCGGGCCGAGCGGAGGGCAGCGCCCGCGCCGCGCCGCGCCGCGCGAAGAAGCCCCGCACACAATAGCGGCGCGCGCAGCCCCGCGCCCTTCCCCCGCCCTCGCGCGCGCCCGACCCCCCTCGCGCGCGCCCTCCCCCGCGCCCCGCGCCGCCCGGGGGAGCCGAGCCCGCCGCCTCACCTGCCGCCCGGGAGGGGGCGGGCATTGTTCGCCCGCCGCCGTCGCCACCGCCGCGCGGGGACATGGGGGCCGCCCGGCGCCTGGGACCGGGCCTGGAGAGGTCGCCGAGCCACCACTGAGGCGGGCCCCGCGCGCAGCCGGGCGGTGCAGGTGAGGCCGGCCGCGCCATGGTGGACCCGGTGGGCTTCGCTGAGGCGTGGAAGGCGCAGTTCCCGGACTCGGAGCCGCCGCGCATGGAGCTGCGCTCGGTGGGCGACATCGAGCAGGAACTGGAACGCTGCAAGGCTTCCATCCGTCGCCTGGAGCAGGAGGTGAACCAGGAGCGCTTCCGCATGATCTACCTGCAGACGCTGCTGGCAAAGGAGAAGAAGAGCTACGACCGGCAGCGCTGGGGCTTCCGACGCGCGGCGCAGCCTCCCGACGGCGCCGCTGAGCCCCGCTTGTCCGCACAGCGCCCGCAGCCCGCGTCGGCTGACGGCACGGACCCGCCGCCCGCGGAGGAGCCCGAGGCCCGACCCGACGGAGAGGGCTCCCCGAGCAAGGCCAGGCCCGGGGCCGCCCGCAGGCCCGGGGCCCTCGCGACCGCGGACCGGGAAGACCGCGGACCCCCCACCAGCGTGGCGGCGCTCAGGTCCAACTTTGAGAGGATTCGCAAGGGCCACGGCCAGCCTGGGGCGGCGGACACCGAGAAGCCCTTCTACGTAAACGTCGAATTTCATCACGAGCGCGGCCTGGTGAAGGTCAACGACAAAGAAGTGTCGGACCGGATCAGCTCTCTGGGCAGCCAAGCAATGCAGATGGAGCGTAAGAAGTCTCAGCACGGCACCGGGCCGAGCCTGGGGGACGCGCCCAGGTCCTCTTACCGGGGCCGTACCTCGGAGAGCAGCTGCGGCCTCGACGGCGACTACGAGGACGCAGAGCTGAACCCCCGCTTCCTGAAAGACAACCTGATCAACGCCAACGGCGGCAGCAGACCCTCTTGGCCACCCCTGGAGTACCAGCCCTACCAGAGCATCTACGTTGGAGGTATGATGATGGAAGGGGAGGGCAAGAGCCCGCTTCTGCGTAGCCAGAGCACCTCGGAGCAGGAAAAGCGCCTTACCTGGCCCCGCAGGTCCTATTCCCCTCGGAGCTTTGAGGACAGCGGAGGCGGCTACACCCCAGATTGCAGCTCTAACGAGAACCTCACCTCCAGCGAGGAGGACTTCTCCTCGGGCCAGTCGAGCCGAGTGTCCCCCAGCCCCACCACCTACCGCATGTTTCGAGACAAGAGCCGGTCACCCTCACAGAACTCACAGCAGTCCTTTGACAGCAGCAGCCCCCCGACGCCGCAGTGCCAGAAGCGGCACCGGCAGGGCCAGGTCATCGTGTCGGAGGCCACCATCGTGGGCGTCCGCAAGACGGGGCAGATCTGGCCCAGCGATGGGGACAGCTTATCCGGCAGGCTGCCTCAGGATGGCACCTTCCAGGGAGACGCAGGTGGGTACCTCCACCACCTTGGGTGGGCACACTTGCACTCTGGCCGGAGAAGAAAAGGGGTCGTTGGCAGGGGAGAAATAGATAGATACCTTTTTGGACTGATTTTCACATGCTGTTGTGGACAGGAAGGATTCATGCTGCTCCTGAACAAATGCCATCCCCCCCACTTTCTCCTGAATGCAGATTCCGGGTGTTTGGACTGCAGTTGGGTTGGGAGGGCCAGTGTGTAGGGATGGTAGGTGGCTGTTCCTTTGGTTCTAGAGTGGTATGCTTCTTGTGAGAGTATTCTGGGTTGGGACCATGGTGCCCTGGGTGGTGGTCTCCTTGCCCTTTAATCACAGCACTCTAGGCAGTGGGGATGGTATTAAGAGGAGGCCATCTCTGCTGTCTGGATCGGGTGTTTTCAATAGAGATTGATATGTGTCTTGGGAATTCCCTGCCACCCCGACTGTTCCTGACCTGGAAGAGTTTTGAGACACGTCTGGGGAACCCAAGGTGTGCTAGCTGCTCCCAAGCCAAAGTGTCACGCTTGCTAACCATCAGCCCGAATGCAAGTCAGAGCAGGTGAAAATGGGAATTAGGAGGAAGTGAGGTGACAGGCAGTTCTGACTCAGTGGGCCACTGAAAATCGATGGGGGTGAAGATTTTATCCAGGGCTGAAGCACAGCCACACCTGTTCTGATTTGCCTGGCTTTGATGGCAGACATCACCCATCATTACTTACCCATAGGCTCTTGTGTGCATCTTACCCCAGCTCCATTTTCTGATCCTTCAGTGCGCTCTTGCTTCCTTGTCTTCCCAAGGATGAGTGGATATTGGTGCTCATTTTGATCTCCTAATCTGTGGTCTGACTCTTGAGCCTAAGATCAAACCTCTAGAATTGTGTATATAACTTTGGGGGTGATAGGACTGGGTTTTAAGATCCAGTCACAGTTCGTAAGATTTGAGTAAGAAGAGGGTGGGTGGGTGTGGGATTTGGGTGGCTGTGTGTGTGTGTGTGTGTGTGTGTGTGAGAGAGAGAGAGAGAGAGAGAGAGACTGTAAGGAATTTCTTGGAGTCCTCATCCCTGTTGAGCTGATCTGGTTTTCCGCTCCATTGATTTTTCTTTTTCTGCTGATGGAGTTGTATGTGCTTTGATCCTGAGAATCCTCTTGAAACAAGTAAGGCTATTTTTGGCTCTGTCAAGAGGCCTTTTTGTGATCAGTGTTCTGTCCTGTTTGTTTTAGATACATTCAGTTGCTGATCTTCCATTTGCAGCTGGGGGTGGCTATGGCTGGCTGCTCAGACCTGCAGCCTGACCCAGCTGCGTCTCCTGGGTCTCTTGCTGGGGGTAGAAAGGTTGTTATTTAGAAGCCTGCTTTGTAGGCAGAGCGGCTCTTCTGGGGTCTGGAGGATTTCCCTGTTGTCACCGGGCACAAGCCTTGTCTGGCCAGCTGTCGATGGAGCGAGCCAGCTTGAACTGGCCCTCAGTACCAGGATGTGGGAGAACATGCTCAATAAAGAAAATGAGAGGTTTTCATGGAGACCTGCAATCTGAAATGGTATTTTCTTGCTGATGGTGAATTCTCAATTTCCAGAAAGTGGGGACCGGTCAGACTGAATGTGTTTTCAGTAGGTCACCCTTCGGATGCTCTTCCCCTTGTCTTCGACTCTGGCCTCCCTCTCATATAGCTGCTGCCAGGACGAGACCCTAGCTCTGTGTGTAACCCATGGTAGGCCCTCAGTAAATGGCTGAGGGGGTAATTTTACAACTTGGACCCCACTCTTAGGACTTTCTGGATCTTTCTCTAATTGTCCTCAAGGCCCCATGTTCTCTCTCCTGTTAGGTTTTGAAACTGGTGGTTTTAGCTCTGGGAGTCTTCATCTCTGTCCTCAGCACTCCTCTGAGGGTAGTGGCTGGAGGGGAAGGAGGGAGCCTGTGCTGGCAAAGCCATTTGTCTCTTTCTGAACTGTTTACTGATGTTTTTTAGACAGCCGTGGGGCCTGCTTGGGCAGGGCTGCACCCTGCAGAGGGACAAAGAGGAAAATCACTGTGTGGGAGGGAGTGGAAGCACCCTAGTTTTTCACAGCAGCAGCAGACATGGAGACCCAGATCTAATAGCCTTAGCATCCTTTTGGATGTGTATGCTCTCATATTTTTGAGTTGAGGGCCCCTGGTGTCGAGGGAAGAAGCTGAAATGACCACTTGCCACTTTCTACCAGGCATGGGAGCAGTGTACCTCATGCAGGGCCCCTCACAGGCTCTTACATCACCTTGTGATGGGTCTGCCCAGCCATAGCTAAGGATGAAACCAGGAAGTGGCAGAGCTGGGATTCCAGGGGTTCCAGGTCCCTCTGGGAATGCAAATGCATTCCTTCCGGAATGTGGCCACCTTAGGGTGTTTTTTGCATCACCCTACACTACACCTGAAAATCATGACTGAATTGGTCCATGGGTGCTTCCCCTACACACACTCAGGGCCCATCGGCCATAAGCCCTGCTGTGTGCAAACCCTTCGCTTTCTACCATGCAGGCTACATAGAAGGAGAGAGTGTAGCCTTGCCATCTGGGAGCTTACAGGTTGATGGGAGACAGGAGCACACATACACACCATTTATGTGGCCAGAGTGAGATCAGGGAAGCTTCCGGAGGCAGCAGCACTGGAGAGAGGCCTTGCCTGTCAGCACATGCTCGTGGCAAAGGGTGGGGAAAGCTGGCTGCCCCAAGGAGCAGTGGGAGCACTGCTCGGGGGCACCCATGTCAGCCCTCTGTGACTCTGGACTGTGGTTTGTTTGTTTGTTTATTTATTTATTTATTTTTACTGCGATAAAATATATATAACTGAATTTACCATCTTAACCCATTTTAGCCATTTTTTCCATTTTAGCCTTTTTTTTTTTTCATTTTAGCCATTTTTTTTTTTTTTTTACAAATAGTTTATTGTCAAATTAGTTTCCACATAACACTCAGTGCTCATACCCAAAGTGCCCTCCTCCATGCCCCTCCCCCCTCCCTCCCACATCCATCAGTCCTCAGTTTTTGTCAGCATTCAAGAGTCTCTCATGGTTTGCCTCTCTCCCTTTCCCCCACCATTTCCCCCCTTCTTCTCCCCCTTGGTCCTCCGTCAAGTCATTTTAGCCATTTTTAAGTGTCTAGTTCAGTGGCATTAAGCACATTCATTCTGCTGTGTAACCATCACTACCATCCATCTCCAGAACTCTTCTCATCTTCCCCAACTGAAATTCTCTCCCTACTGAATGACAGTTCCTCATTTCCTCTCCTTGAGCTCCTGAAAACCACCACTGTGCGTTCTGTTTCTATGATTTGACTACTCTTAATACCTCATATAAACAGAATCATACTGTATCTGTCCATCTGTGTCTGGCTTATTTCACTTAGCATAGTATCCTCAAGGTTCATCCACATGGTAGAACAGACTGTGTCGTATTTTGTTTTTTTTTTTTAACGTTTTATTTATTTCTGAGAGAGACTGCATGAACAGGGGAGGGTCAGAGAGAGAGGGAGACACAGAACCTGAAACAGGCTCCAGGCTCTGAGCTAGCTGTCAGCACAGAGCCCGATGCGGGGCTTGAACCCATGAACCGTGAGATCATGACCTGAGCTGAAGTCGGACACTTAACTGACTGAGCCACCAAGGTGCCCCCCCATGTTGTATTTTAAAGGCAAAGATCTCTAGTTCATTCCCGGATCTCCCAGAGAGTCTGGCTCAGAGCTGTACACATAGCACTTACTGGAATGTCCCTTCCTCCTTTTCACAGCTATGGGGTTAGGTTGGGGAGTTGAGAAGTTGGGAAGCATCTTATCTGCTGTACATCTTTAACTCTGTCCCTGTCCTTGAACTTCCCTTTCCTAGAGCTTTGGTGAGCCCTTTCATAAGAGAGACCAGACGATCCAAGATCCTTTACTCTTTTAGGTCTGAGGAGTTATTATTTTTTAAGATTTTAAAATTATTTTTAAGTAATCTCTACACCTAATGAGAGGCTCAAACTTATAACCCCAAGATCAAGAGTCACATGCTCTGCCAACTGAGTCAGCCAGGTGCCCTGCAGGTCTGAGGAATTCTTGATCTGAACACTCAGCTCTGAGATCCCTTTCCAAGTGTTATTCATGAGACCTGACTCCATGTCTTGTGTTTCTTTATGAGCTTTCATGTGAGTTGCTGCCTTATACTTTCACATCTCTGTTAAGCAGTTTAATTTTCTCTTTGGATTGTGGCAGTATGTTGTCACTAGAATGATCATTGTTTTCCCCTTGGGTGATTGACTGGATCAGCCACCAGTTAGATTGAGTAACTCTGGGCCAGGAAAAGGTCATGCAGGCCTTGCATTGACTTGATCATCATCTCTTTACATCAGAGCCTGTGGTCACCTTTGAACTGAGTACAGGCTTCTCTCCGTGAGCAGAGGCAGAGTGGACGGAACCAGTCAGGTAAAGTCTGAGACCATTGACTCATCAACAGGGTGGAAGCAGAGTCTAGTTCAAATATTAAAAGGGTTTTCTGATTCTGGAAGGATAACTTCTTTGTTTTGGGAATAGAATGAAATACTCTGGAATGTTTCACTAGATAATTCATTAAATAAGGAGCTAGCTGGGAATGCTGTCGATTTGCATGGCTTCAGGGGAATGTGCCTTTTGCGATCCTCCCTTTTGTCTCAGGCTTCAATAGCTACCTCCCCACCCTGGCCAGGAGTCCTGTGGCCCTGTGTATGTGACTGCTGTCTTTACTAGGACAAATGTCCAGGTGAGCCATAAGCTCAGCCCACTTGGGAGAAGACCCGACAACACCTGAGGCCCCATCTGCAGCTCACCCCTGTGGTTTGAGAGGGTTCTCTTTCACAATGAATGGATGGGCATTTTCAAGTGTGCTCAGGTTGTCAAACAGTAGGCCTGAGTTTTGACTGTGGCTGCTTTTAGATCAAGGCTTAAGAGGTAGGGTTGGTGGCTTTATTTATTATGAATTTCATTGGGGTCCCTCTCCCTGACTAGAATACAGTTGTGT